ATACATCTCACCAAATTGTAGATACCACGTAACATCAAACTGTGGTCATATCTTGAAAGGTGAAGCTTGATGTCACCTAGCCTGGCATCGGGCATTTGACACGCCAATGTTGGAACACAAATGGTTTGGCAGCTGAATTTAAAGGGGCTCAGGCTGGGTGTTGGCGTGCATTCTCCTAGGTCCGATGGTGTGGCTATGCAGCATGCTTGCCATTCCTGCAGCATTCTAACTCGATGTCCGCCAGGTGTTCCCCAAAATAATGGCGCCGCAAACAAATGGTGGGATGATGCTCATCTCCCTACACAAAAGCCGTCCACAAGGGGGCGTTTCATTCTACACCCCGCCCCCCCCTCCCAAGCATGGCATGCCGATGCAATGAACAACCTGCCCTCCCCACCTCCCCACCCCCCCGCCTTCCCACCTTCCCACCTCCCCACCCCCCCCCCCCCCCGCGCCATTTCGCGCCAGGGCGCCAATGCCAAACCAGGCAGCCAGCACTGCGCGCGGCAGCCACGAGTCCTGCCTGCGACGAAAGCAGCTTCCTTAGGATCGGAATCCATGAAGGAACCCGTGTTCTCGACCGTGGTTTTGAACCCGTGTGTCTGAACCCGTGTTTTGAACGGATTTCTTGCTTTGAACCCGTGTTCTCGAACGCGCAAGGTGCTTTGAACACGTGAAAGCACATGGAGCAAGGCGAGACTGCAGGAAAAACGCAAAATCAGACCTCAGTAAACCTGGCAGGAGCTGCCACTCAAGGGCAGAATTGGTTCTTCCAACCAGGCTTGAGAAGCTCAAGTCTTGAGACAGCCGCAGGCAGGCAGGCAGGCAGGCAGGCAGGCAGGCAAGCAGGCAATGCAAGAACGCATGCACGCAAGCACCCACGTTCACATTCTTGCAGCCACACACACACACACACAAGGGCAAGTGCTGTTTGATCAATTGAAGGGTGCACCAAAAAGAGCACACTTCCATTCAGGATCACTGCAGCCAGTGCATGTGGCAGTTCGCTTCCACCAAGAGCTACCCTGGAACAATTAGCACCTCCTTGAGGTCCGAGCACCGGGTTCGGAGCCGGGCTGGGAAAAAAACCACCCGCACTTCACCGCGGTTTTGCGCGGGGGGTTTTGCGCTTCAGAAGAGGCCCTGGGAGTACCTGGGAGTGCCATGGTCAAAAATTATCTGCTTCCAAGTCATCAGACTCATGAAGCTGCTGGCCACCTCCTTTCCACAAACAATAATTCACGAGAATGCGAAGCTGGAAAGGGATGGGGAAGATTACCTGTCTGGTCCATTCGTAAGACAGCTAGAGAGATGACTCTCCAAACCCAGCCCGGCCCACCAAGCAAAAATCCAACACTAAGAATGGTTGGTGAAAAGGCTGGAGAGAGAGACAAGGAGAGAGAGACAAGGAGAGAGAGACAGAGAGAGAGAGAGAGAGAGAGAGAGAGAGAAAACCATTCCCGACTTATTAATAATCTTTACAACACCAACGTTGAAAGGTGGAAATGTGAAAAAGAGCAATGAGAGCGATGAAGAGAGCCACCTCTGGTCAGTTTTCAAGGAAAAGACTTAGGTGATGCGACCAGAGGTGAAAGAAGCTCTCTCCATTCCGCACCCTTCTTCAAGAATCCCATGGCATTTGGAGATGAAGGAAGAAGACATGGATAGGAGAGGACAAGGAATGAAGAGATCTCCCTCTCCCACTTATCCATCTCTCCGTCTCCCCTCTCTCTCTCTCTCTCTCTCTCTCTCTCTCTCGCATGCACACCTCTCCTTTCTACGGCGGCTTCACCGAGCTTCTTTGCAGGGGCTCACAAAATTATCCTTGAAGACACCCCGCACCCTTTGGAAACCCTGCCTTACTCGGAACTAGGAAGCTCGAGCGGAACTTCGCCAAGAACCCACTCAAATCCATTGGGTGTGTGCCAGTCTCCCTTCGAATGTCCTGTTTTCTCAGGACGGACTCGAACAAGGCTGTGCCGGGCATGCTTCTTCGGTTTTTGCGTCCGCTCTGGTAAATAAGAAAACCGCCCAAGCCTCCCCACCAAAACCCGGAAATTTGGGCCATGTATCCCCCCTCAGGACTTACGGTCTGGAAAGAAAAACACAAAAACCAGAAGTTTGGGCCCAAAGTTCCCCCCGGCGGAGCTTCCCGCCTTCGGCTCCCGTTGCCCTCCCCATCCCCTTCCCTTCGCTCCTCAGCGCGTCGGCCAGGCGGCCCAAGCGCGCGCAGAGCGTCAGGCGCTGGGCCTCGACATCTGAAAGCAGGTTGGAACCCTAGGGGGTCCTTGCCCCCAAAGGAAGCTCACTTGGTCAAGGTGTGTCACATAGATGGAGTTCTCATGACCCTTTGGTCGACATCATTTAGGCTTGGTTGACCTTGGAAGGGGAGCAAAAATTAAACCAAGTTTTAGCACTCAAGTGGATTTGGAAATTTCAACCACTCAACCACGAAAAGAAGAACATGTAAAAAATGTGTCCCAACAACCATGCCGAGAGTTCCTTGCCCCCACAAGAATGGCAGGGGCCCAAAACATGGAGGATGACCATCCGGCGCTTTTTGTGTTTGTTAGTTAACCCAGCCATTTCTTTTGATGGCTTGAAGCCCGGGGAAAAGAGATCGCGGTTTTGGCGGCATGGACACCAAATGGATTTGGACACCAAAAGCTGAAGACGTGGCTTTGCTTTGGGCGAGCGAGGCGAGCGAGGCAAGTCCCGCTCACTGGTGGGCTTGCCAAGCCCCCAGGCTCGGAGGCGACTTAGGCCAACAGAATGCTGTTGGCTGTTTGAGGCTGGGGGGCCTAGGGTTTATTTAATGGCTTATATAATTTCCCAACAACGGCTTCAGAAGGCTTTAACTGGGCATTCAGTCTGCAAAAAAGAAATTTAAACTGTGAATCTAAAAATTCGTGAGAGGGGCACCAGCCACCCCGCGACTCGCCAAGACTCGCCAGGCCTTGAGCCACTGAGGCGCTGGTCGCGCAGAACCGCCGCAGAGGCGCTGCCAGCAGCGCCAGGCTGGGCCGCTCGCGAGCGAGCGAGCGCGCGAGCGAAAGCCCAAGCTTCCACAGGTGAGGTCCACTTGGCCGCGTCTATTTGTTACTAGATAAACAAATCCATTTGGGAGGTTTACGCCGCTGCGGCCAAGCAACCCCACCCCAGCCCTTCCTTGCCACTCCCCCCACTTCCCCACTTCGAGCCCCCCCCCCCGCGATAGGGTGGTTATAACACGGAACTTTGGCGAGCAACTTTGAGTACTAACTCGGTGAATGCACTGCTTGTCATCTCAGTAGACAAGGATATGGGTCAAAAGTGCGTACCCAAAATGGCTTGCCCTGGTAAAGGGAACCAAAGACTACCTGCGGTCCAATTCCTGGTTCTATTTTGACCCATACCCATGTGTAGCGACCAGTGGCTCAGCTTCCCTCCAATGGGTTTGGAGCCGGGGGGTTGGAGCTGTGCCAACCCTTGGTATGGTAGCGAAAAAAGGCGCTTTTAGCAGCCACCTGAGCAGAACCCAAGAAGATACACAAACAAGGGTGCCGAGCAGCAGTAAAGATGGGTGTGTCGTTTTTAGGTTGGGCCCCCCAAACCAGCAACAAATAACCATGGTTTCACGGAAACAAGCAGGACTATCATTCTACAGGATATTGCCACCAATTAACAAAACAACATGTAGAATGTCTCTTTTGTGCTGGTTTCTTGGATGGTTATAACTTGGGCCGGGGGCTAGTCCCGAGTTCACCAAAGTTCACCAATGTTCACCATGGTTACAACCGACTAAGTGGGTTGAACATCCAGGGAGGAACCTCCACCGACCCCAAATTTGGGCGGAGCAAACGCTGGGTAGACTTAGGTTGGAAGGGAAGGACCAGACTTGGACCAATCTTGGAGTCTAAGTAATGGGTGCGTATGCGTCCAAATAGAGAACCCCTCGAAATGGTGGTTTTCCTTTCGGTTTCCCGGTTTCCCTCAAAACCACCCCAAAAAGGTACACCCAAATGCCTTGGGGCGGGGCAATGGCAACGAAGGACCCACCCCAACAAAAACGCCTGCCGCAAGGCTCCGCCGCAGCATCGCCCGCGGCCAGAACCGGCCGCCTCGGCTGCTTTCGCCACAACTCGGTCAAACCAGCGATTGCTTGGTTTGGCATGGCTGGTGCTCAGTAGGGAATGTGGGAACGAACCCACATCCCCTTAAAGGAAAACCACAAGGGATGCTTTATGAGGGTCGTTCCCTCATTCCCTGCTGAGCACCGCCTGGCAAAATAAAATAGCCGGGGTTACGCAGGTGTTTGTCTTTCTTTCCACACCAAGATGCCGTTTTCGGGGTACCATATTTGAGTCAGGTTGGCTTCAAAAAAAAACAGCAATACACCAGCATAGACCCCAGATAGCACACCACGGCTACGAACCATGACGCAGCATTATCATGATGATGTAGACAGCACCATGATGATACCACAGCCACTGAGCATGGTGCGCTACAAACGCGCATACAACATCCTAATGAGTTCAGCAGCATAATGATGATGTTGAGAGCATCATGCTGATACAGTCCTGATGAGTTCGACAGCATCATGATGATGCGGACAGCATCATGATGATGCGGACAGCATCATGGTGATGCAAACAGCATCATGCTGATGCAAACAGCATCATGCTGATGGTAAAGGCAGCATCATGATGATACCACAGCCACGAACCATCTTGCGACAGCATAATGAAATTCAGCATCAGCCTGATGTTGACAGCATCACGGCGCCACTACACCCACAAACCATAAAGCAGCAACGCAGTGACCCCAGTTGCATCATGACGTGGTTGGGAACATCATGACGATACACCAGCCACAAACCGTTACGCGCGAACAGCATCCACCAGCACCCCAAACTGCGTGCCCCTCCACCAGCACCCCAAACTGCATGCCCCCTAGCACCCGGCCGTCAAGCTCGCAAAACAGCATCCACCGGCACCCCAAACTGCATGCCCCCTAGCACCCGGCCGTCAAGCTCGCAGAACAGCATCCACCAGCACCCCAAACCGCATGCCCCCTAGAACCGCTCGCAAAACAGCACCCACCAGCACCCCAAACCCTCACCGTCAAGCTCGCAAAACAGCATCCACCAGCCCCTAGAACCGGTCAAGCTCGCAAAGCAGCATCCACCAGCACCCAAACTGCATGCCCCTTAGCACCCGGCCGTCAAGTTCGCAAAGCAGCATCCACCAGCACACCAAACTGCATGCCCCTTAGCACTCGGCCGTCAAGCTCGCAAAACAGCATCCACCAGCACCCCAAACTGCATGCGCCCTAACACCCGGCCGTCAAGCTTGGAAAGCAGCATCCACCAGCACCCCAAACTGCATGCCCCCTAGCACCCGGCCCTCAATCTCGCAAATCACTTTCCACTCTTTAATAGAAGTTAGAACCCCTATAGCTTTCAGCTATCTGGGGAATAAACCGACCCGATGGTTTGTTGTTTTTTGGGGGGAGGGCAGTACCCCTTTGAGACAAAGCCATCCGTGGAACCGACAGAAGACGCCCACCCAGCTGCCCGGATCACGATTGGGGCGTGGCCTGCGAAATTCGGAGGTGCCCTTTCTTTAGGTAAACGTTCGATTCTCTGCGCAGGTCCGTTTCATTGGTTTCATATACGGAAATGTCTGCCGGTTTTTGTCCCACCCGAACAACAAATCCAAATGCGGGCAAGTTTAAAGCACGAGCCGGTCCATTTGTGTGTATTGAACCAACAAAAAGCAATGGTGCTCGTTCTTCTCGTTCATTTCTTTATCCGGTGGAAAGGGGTCCTCGATTTGGGTTACACAAGTAGCAATTTCAAGATTGCACCAACGACGCCGCCATGTCGATGCCAAGCAATCATCCCGCAGAACAATAAAATCGCCTGCACCTCAACATCTACGTCGCTTTCCGACAAAGCGACGAAGAGTTCCGGGAAAGATGCTTTCTTGGGCTTCACAATAGTGAAGTGAGTGGCTCTGAATGACTAACTTGGATGGTAGGAATCTCGCGCTACATGTGCGCGTCCAACAATTGGGAGACGCCCCCCCCTTTGTTGGCTGGCGCTCGATTTTGGTACAGCCGTCATGTTGTTGTGTTCTTTTTCTTGGGGGGGTTACTTAGGCTTGGGCAGGTGTTGGAGGGAAGCCAAGGTCCACCGCCCATTCCAAGTCTTCAACTCGACGTTCTGGGAACCCAGGCCAACCAGGACCTGCGCGTGCCTCAGCGGAGCTCAGTTCCAAAGGCACGAAGGACATCCTCGGGCGCTTGGGATCAAAGCCTGAGTTCCAAACCCACTGGTGAAGCGGTCCACATGGCTAAATTTCACCAGTCGATACGAGTTGATCCTTCTCCGGCCATCGGCTGCTTGGCAGGATCCCTGCAAATCGCCGGACAAAATGCCGAGGACCTCTCAAAGGGCTCAGTGAGCCCCCAAATTCCAAGCAGTGCGTTTTTGCGTGGTGCGCCTAGAAGTCATTGTCACACGCCCCTTTTGGCGACTTCAACACAGGAATGCGGCTGACATACCAACCTTGCTTGGCTTACTTTCCACCAATTGAAGCTTTTACTGTTTTTGCATGCCTGCGTTTGCGCGGCGAAATTTGTGTGGTTGGTGATGTGCTTTTATTCTTCCCCCGCTAGTGGGTTTACGTTTCCAAAAGCACGCAACACTTGAACAGGTCGGCTCGCATCTCTCCACTTGGATCCGTAGACAAACGTCCGAGAGACTTTGGTCATCGCCTTTCCGGGGTGTCTTTTCGAGGATGTCCGATTGCCGAGCGACTGGCAAAGAATTGGGGCTCGGGGGGGGGGGGGGGGGCGGTTGAGCCTTTTTAGAACCCACAAACCAAAGGGATTCGAAAGTGTGCTGATCAAAAGCGCGGATACCCCTGCAGCGACACCGAAGGCAAACTCAATGCTTCTGTCTTTTTTTGATGGAAACCAACGGAAGACACCCCCACTGGGCCACCTGACTGCTGTGCCCTCCGCTCTGTCTCGTTGCGGCACATGCAGCACCAGAGGCGCCTTGGGCAAGTCCGGGCGTTTTTGTGGGACCTAGGGAGCCACTTGAAAGGGAATTGGTTGGACAGGAATTCACCGGTTGGATGGGACTGCCTTTTGAAATTGGATAGGGAACCTTTTCCAGTAGTCATGGTTGGACAGGGAAATGGTTGCTAAACAGAGGCGGGAGCGAATATCCCACGCGTTTTGGCGGAGGGTTGCAGGGCATGTGCTTTTTGTGTTGCAACTGTCTGTGAGAAACCCTGGACCCCGCTGGCAAAGTGAGTTTCAATCATGGTTGGATGGGAATCAACAATTTGGGTATCACGGAACCAACTACTTTGATGGTAAGTACGGTTGTTTTCTCAAACATACGGGCTGGTTAGTTAATTCAATGAGGAAGCCGCCCCATGTAGGTCACGAAAAGGTTCACAGTCCGAGTATGCGGTTCCAAGGTCTAAAGTCGGGGACCCCTACAAATGGTTGTTTCTCTTCTTGATTGCCCTTCAAACTGCATTCAAAAGTGGCTCGGATTGGTTCCCTAAATCTTGCAAGGGAGAATGGAAACCCCCGCAATTGCTGAAAGAACGCCGGGGGGGGGGGGGGGGGGGGGCATAACAAATAGAACCTCGGGCGTGAAAAAATGACCTCAGGTGGAACAAATACACCCAAAATGAGTTGAGCCTGCTCCCCAAAATCCTAAACATTCAGCTTCCCAAAAATAATGTTTCTTACATGTCTCTGGAGCCCAAGACTTCATTTCAAGGACCCATGTCATAAATATACTGTTGCCTGGCCCTACGAAAAAGACAACACAACCTGGTCAGTGGAGTTGCCTCTTAGCTAGTTAAGTAATTCGACGCGCCAGGTGATGCGGGCGATGCTTCAGGCTTCGTTGTTAGATTTACCCACATCTTCTTACACGTCGCCTGTTTCGAGTTCTAACCACAATCAAACTTACAAAAGGGGGTAGTACTTCAGGCCCACCCCCAAAAATGTCAGGGGCCCCTAGAAGAAAGTTTGTTTTTTGCACCTCCACCAAAAAACAAACACGAAAGGAAGCTCCAGCAATACTATACATCAAATGGAAACTCAATTTCCGATCTCAACGGGAAGCTCCGACACTACACAATCAAATGGAAACTCAAGTCTATCAATACTAAATCAAATGGACATTAAATTGACCCGGATCTCAAGATGTTATTCTACGTACCTGCTGTGTTGCGCGGGGGGTGGGGCCTTTACTAAACCCAGGTGGACGCTAACATTTTGCGGGATGGTTTGAAGGAAGGAAAACCACCACATTGGGTGTTCCTTACAACCGCCCAATTGAAGCTCCACAGCTAATCCGACAAGCCTCTACTTGGCCGAATGGTTTGGTGAATGGGGAAACCCTTAAAATCCTTAAATGCATTTGCCTGCCTGGGTTTTTATAATCGCAAAAGCAAACCAAGGCGGCTCATGGCGGAGACCCCTTCTTCACCAACCGCTGAAAGCTGAAGGCTCCGGCTTGGTTTCACAAGGGGTCAAGCCCCGCTGCCCGCTGCCCGCATGTGGTCCATGTCTTGGATCAAGAAAAAGAGAAAACAAAAGCTGATCTACGAGTCGCAAGGTCTGGTTTCTCGACACGGTTTTCTGGACACCAGCCACACTTCGGGTCGACAAAGGCACCATCACCCCAGGTTGCCACCCACAGCCTCACCAACATCAACTTGGAGAAAGAGACCTGCTTGGCTCCAAGTGGGGGTTGCTTAATATGAGATTGGAACAACTTTCCCATAGGCTGCCGGGTTCAGGGAAAACAAAACAACACCCCCCGCCCACCCCCGACAGAATTGAAGAGGAAAACAGTCTTCCAGAAGTGTGCAGTTACAAATTGTTGGCAAAGGGAGGGTCAAACTTGTCCCCCCCTCCCCCCAACAAAACACACACACACACAACAAAAACAAAAACAACAACAAGAACAACCGAAGGTGCAACCCTGCGGGAGGCTGAATCCAAGAGGTGGTTGTCTTCTTTGGGGACTTTGTTTCAGGCGAAAACTCGGATTTTTTCTGCTCCGCTAAAAGTGACCAACTTTTCGTGGTTTAGTACGGGAAACTCCCAGTGGGCAAAAAGCTAAAGTCCCTTGACATCCCTTGGCAAAATGCAAAGAACATCTCGGGCTCCGGCCAGCAGTGGCCCAGCACGGCCCGGCTCAGCGGACCGAACCTGAGCCGGAAAAAAACTCACGGACGAGAGCCGCGGCCGAGGATGGGCCAAAATTGGCGCCCCAGATAATTGTTTTGTATTTTTTTTAATATATGTATATGTATATTATATATATATATATATTAACACATACAATATAGTCATGTGTGTGTGTTTAGCGAAACTGGCTCCAATTCATAGAATCTGCCAGCTTCCCTCTTGTCCGCTTCATTTCCCTTGTGGCCAAAGGGAAGCCGAGAAAGATTCAGGTTCACTGGGCTCTACAAGTTGGGTGGATGCCCTCATGTTTTTTGTTTGGGTTCCAATTGGTTTCCCTTCAAACAGTGAAAACAGGAATTCATGTGGGTTCCTTTTGGTACACTCCAAAAACAACAATCCCCCCCTTTTTACATTCGAATGCCAGTTTGTTCTGGGCCAAATCTGAGCGACTGACAGGCAATCACAAGTGTACCGAAGCTCCAGAAAAGGTTCGACCGTTTTAATTTTCGGATCACCCAGCTCAAACAGAACGCCCTGATTAGCAACTCACCAGGCTGCCGCCGTTGAATTTTCACTCGACTTGGGAAGCTTGCACTGTCTTCTGAAAAGCCCGGGGATGAATTTCAATTGGGAACGCTTTGGTGGGAATCATTTGAAATGGGGAGTTCAACAGATATGTCCACCAACCACTTCTTTGCCGCCTATGGATATAAATGAGGTACAATCCTACTGTATCACCAAAGGCGGCCGAGTAGGGGGGTATTCCCCATTAAGATTCATGAACCGTGAGAATCAGAACCTTGAAGAAGTCTACCCCAAGAAATGTCTACGCCCGGCAGGTGACCACCCATCTTCAGGGAATGTTCGAACGTCCCTACCAATGGGTGTCACCTGTCACATCATTTCAGAGCCCAGATTGCGCCGGCTCGCTCACTTGTCAGGACAAAAGCATAAATTCGGCACTCTCAGAATCAAACACGGGACATTCCAAAAAACAGTAGACTCTCTTGCGAGCGAAAACCTGTTTTCTGGGCTGTCCTCAGATCTCCTGCCAAAAGAATAAAGCTAAATGGAAACCCAACCACTAAACCATACGAAAGGCAAAAAAGCGGAGCCACCAAGTTTCGAGGCTCCTTCCGGCAATGTACTCCCTACATGCCAAGGGACCCTCAAAACTATACCGCTGGTGACTCTCAAGATGTTGGCAAACGGACACCCCAAGGTCACATATGGCTGACCGATTCCGAAGGGGCAACACGCCAAGCTATGCATACTTGCGGTTGGCAGAGGATAGTGGAACTCCCGCAAACTCACACACATGCAAAAAAAACCAAACACTCCTGCCAAAGGGAAAGTCCGATTGTGGTTTAGTCATCTCCTTGCACCCGCATGAAGGGAATTGCTATCCACTGTTTTGTTGGTGTATTCTTCGGGCCTAAATCGTTGGAATGGGGTTGTGTGGCACGTTACACCAACACAATAAACTCATGATAATATATCATATTCATAGAAGAATACGTGTGTGCTTATTTAGCCCCTTAAATTACTTGCTGGTTCTTAGCAGACCAGGAGAGAATGCCCCGCACGAGCCATCCTTTGTGGCTTGTTTTAAGCCGATCCCTTTTGATTCATTCCGAAGACCTGAGAACCAGCACGTAATCACCCCTGGACATTGGCCCCCCCCCCCAAAAAAAAAAAAACAGTGGACCCCCACCCGCTACGGAAAGGAGACCGACTTCCAAGAAAAGCCTTGCCCGGCATGGCAGCAAGATCGAAAAAAAAGGGACGACTTTCGCAGTTGCCTGCCTTTTCCCTCGTTTTGAAGTGCCTGGAGTCTCCATGACTCCTAGAAAAATTGGCCATGACCTCTTGATTTTGGGGAATTGCCCCATTTTCAAAGGGTCATGGAGACTTCGGGCGCAAACTCTTTGTCTTGTAACTGCAAACTGGAAGCTGGCTTTGTCATTCCTCTCGGCCAAGGTGCGGAATCTCCGGCACTGACAGCCTCCGAAATCATCGAGGGGGGGTCAAGAGGGCCAGGTGAGCCATAGAAAACAAGCTACTTGGATGTTTCAACCAACTTGGCAGGTAGGTTCTAACCATGGTTGATTTTCTGGCCAACCCAAGTTACCCAAGTTACGCAAGCTATAATCATCCTTGTAACCTAAATACCTGACGTTGGTGGAACATGCAAGACGTAACATGGTCTACCGGTCTACCCGCATAAAGAATCAGAAGGGCGGATATCCGCTTACTAGGCGGATAGACCTGTCCCCCTTTATTGCGGGGCACAGTCCTTCGCAATCAGCTGGGTGCATCTTCCGAGATGTTTACCCCAAGTAAGAGGCCGTTGGAAACCTTCCAAACCCATCCGCTGGATCTGCCCATTTCGCAAGGCAGAGACCCCGAATAAGTTGCTACCCGACTGTTTTTTTCAGTTTTGTCTGTTTTAGTAGGGTCCCAAACCCTCCCCAAAAAAAGTTGGTCAAAGGGCACTACTGGGGGACCTTGCCAACTAATCAAAGCACCTTCCCCTTTTCAGATCTTGAAGAGGCCTTTGATTCTTTTAAAGATTTCCGGATTTCCCGATGTCCGGATCAACCATCAGTTCTCAAGCCCAAAGCGGTTTGGAGTGCGTGTCGTTGGCTGGGTTTGGCTCCCGATGCGTGACTTAACATGGAGAACTGCTGACACCTCTTGGCCCTTTGGGTTTTTCCGGTAGAAAGCCCGCCCCTTTTAGTGTCCCATTCAACATCCAGAAACAGGGCTCATTCTGAGACAAATGTGAACAACTTACATCTGAAGCGCGAAGCTCTTCGCTGTGCGTGACGGCTAAGGCATGGCCGGTTCAAGCGCATGCCAAACACTTTGTCATGGCAGTCCCACGTCTGAACCAATGCGCAGGTGGCGCATTATATGGCAAGGACGTCTGGAAGGAAACAGCACCTCTTGAAACTACCTTGTTGGCCATCTGTGTGCACAAGAGATCCTCCAAAAAGCTAAATCCAAAGAGGTTGTTTCAGAATGAGGTCGGGACTATGAAACGTGCGGGCAGGCTCAGTTTGAACACATGCCTGTATTGAATACTTTCTGCCATCTTGATTCAAACAAATCTTTGTTTTGGCTTCCCTTTTTGGTAGACGTAACTAAGCCATGTGGTTTTTTTACCAAACACCACGGGGTCCACCCAAAACCATCGCCCGATTCGGATTCGGGCGATTCATTCGATGCCCCAACCTGGGCATCCGGTAGCAACGGATCCTTTCCTCCAGCTCCTCACGGGCGGAATAGATCGCCCTGGTGACAACTTCGTGGTTGGAGCCTCCCTCCACTTGGCTGTGGCTCAAAACTCGGTGGCGAAATCTGCGAAGCCCTGCTAAAAGTTGTTTGTTTCTAAACTTTTAGTGGTTTGATACGGAAAACCCAGTTGGCAAAAAGTGAAAAGTCCTAACATCCAAGCAAAAACCGGTACCAAAAGTGCTTGCCCTGGTAAGTGGAAACCTGGACCAACACCTGCGTAGCCCCTCCTGTTTAAGTTTGAGCCACACCCATTTGGCTGTGTGTCAAAGATGGCGCAACCGCAAAATGGCGCAAGCCCCAGCAAATGGAAACAAAGACCAAAACCTGCGTGCTTTTCTGGTGGTGTAGTGCTGACCCATACCCATTTGAGGAAATAGGGTGGTTTGGAGCCGAGTCGATGGTTTCGTGGTTGGGGTGCTGTTTGGTTCAAATCCCCAAACCAATCCAAACCACCAACTAAAGGGTACCTGATCACAGGCACTTCCGTCAATGTGACAACTGAAGCCCAGTAATCCCCGAAACCCTCCGCAACCCTCCGGAACCCACCAAAACCCTGCGGAACCACTCCAGAGCTTACCTGGGCAGAGACTGGAGGGTTTTTCCTTTCACAGCGGCTCACCTGGAGTGCTCTGAAGCTTCTAGAAACTCCATATGCCAAAGCGTTTTTCCTTTCAGCTGTTGGGGAATAACAATGTACTTCTGCGAATTTTGGGAAGAGAGTAGCAGACAGGCAACGCGAACGGGCTTCCAGTCCTATAGTCTTCCCGTTGGGCTTCCGGTAGTCTTCCCAGTCTTCCCTTTCCCCTTGCTCCGGTCGAGCCCTGTGCTATCTGTGACTCTTGGTTCCAAAACTACTCGTCGTGATTCTGTAGCGCCTGACGTTGTGGCATCTTGTTGTTTGTTTCTAATGCATCTCTGCGATCTGTTTGAACATCCAACTTTGGGTTTTTGTTGAAAGGTGTCCATGTTTAAACCGCCCTTCTTGTTTTTGCTCACGGCGTGATTGGGGGTTGGGGGGGGGGGGGGGTTGGGGGGTTGTTGGGTGTTTTCAAGCGAGTTTTGACTTTGCGTCAGCCACTGCAGACATACACGCAGACAGACACAGCACGCGCACGCCGCGCGTGCCGGCACCTCTGTGCACACACCGTCCTTGCGCACGCTGTTGCACAGGCCGCTTGTCTCGCGCAAACAGACTGACCGCACATAGTCACATAGACGGACATACAGCGAAGTGCCAGGACATTTGAGCTGACTGTGGCACTTGGGCATCATGCCCACAGGTCTGTTGTGTGTGTGTGTGCAGGTTGCCTTGTCAGAGCCACCAGAACCCAACGGTTGTTCTGTTCAACTTGCAGTGGCTTGAGTCGATAAACATGTTCAAGCCACCAGAACCGAGCTGGTTTTGCGTCAACTTGCATTGGTTTGAGATGCAATGATGGTGTTGCGGGGCCTCACGGTCGCTAACGCCGCCGTGACCGTTTTTTGTTCTTCTTTTTTTTCATTACAAACTCCATTGTAAAATGCATGAGTACACCAAAGAAGCAGTGCTTCATACGTTTCGCACAAACTGAAAGCTGCACGAGTAGACAAAAGTAATGCCTCACAAGATTGCTCACATACGATGAAATGAATGGGAAAATAGAAGCCATGTTTCATGTGTTTGCTCGCAGTCTCTAAATTCAAGAAGTAAACGAACGGGTTTCAGTTGCTTGCTCACAAACTGCAAACTGACAGGTAATCAAAATAAACATATTACGTGCTTACTCACAAACCGTGAACGGTATGAGTGTGCATGAATCTGTATGAGTCTGTACGAGTAAACCACAGGCACGAAGGCATGAAATTCGTGTTTGCTCACAACTGTTAGGCTCTATGCGTCCAGAGTAGGAATTCGGGACAAGTTTGCTCACAGTGTGTGAACCAAATGAGTAAATAACCGACGAGTTGCTTGGCACATTTGCCCGCTGACTATGAACTCAAGGGGGTAAACAAAGATGTGCGACATGTTTGCTTTCACACAGTAATCTGGATGTGCAAACAAAAGCCACTTTTAGCGAATATGGTTGACAATGACACAAATTGTAAACGAAGTGAGTAAGCACGAGGAATGTTGCGGAGTTTGGTTGCAAACTGTCTCATGAGTCTGCAACAATGGGATATGCTTCACGGGTTTGCTCACCAACTGTAACCGACAGAGCGATCCGTGGTAAATATATCAGAATGCACATAGGTGAAAATAAAGCGGAATGGAATAGAAAGGAAGCAACTTGATCAAATTACTAATATGATCGCAAAGGGATGGACAAAAGGCAAATTAGAATGTGGAAAAAAGTAGGGGAGACGACCTTTCTGGCAACAATGGTATCTGTCATGAGCTGGGCACACCGAATCGGGTAACCTCGGGCAACCGTGGCTCTGCGTGCCCGGGTCCACGGCGATCGCAAGTTCACAGCCACCGCCTCTTCTTGGTGCTCCGCGCATGGCAGAAATCCTTCCATTTGCTTAAGCCCCCTAGAAAAAAACATATTCCAGTAGTGATAGATTCCCGTTAAAACCAACAAGGTAAAATATAAAATATTCTTAAGCAAATGGAAGAATTGGGTCAGCAAAGATGCGCGCCGTCTCCCTCGGCCATTCTTCACACATTCCTTGCTTCGGCTGCGGACTGCGAAGCCGGCTGCCGAAGGCGCCTGAAACGGATCCAGTCCATGCCCGGGGAACCCCGCCGCAAATCCCGAAGCCACGAAAAAACGAAGGGTTTTTGTTGCTCAGGCCAAACCGCAGCTAAACTCTCAGGTTGGAACCGCAGATCAGTAAGAAAAGCAAAGAAGTTGCCATGGAAGCGAGAGGCATGTCAGCCCAAGTGATGGTTGATCCGTATGGTCCTTAGGGGAGAACTCGGTCTAGCCCTGCTTCACTCTCAGTCGCGCTCCGACAAGAGCATGGTTCAAGCAAACCAAAAGCAACATGGAAGGAGGGATCCTGTTACAACACGTAAGAGAAATCTCAAAAGCAGTAAGGAATCAAAAGGCGGCCGCACCTATACTACTTCCATTTGCTTCAGCCCCGAAGAAAAAAACAACAACAGGGGAAAATCAGAACATAAATCCATGTCCTCAAGTGGAAGGGACTGCGATTGGGCCTGCGCGTCACTTTCCCAGGTGGCTCACTCCTCGATGTCCGCGAAGCCTTCGCCGGTCTTAAGCAAGGCCTCGAGCGCTTTCGACCGGCATCCACCCTGCGGGAGAAATTTGACGTCCCGGGAGGCGTCTCAACGGGAGCCTAGGGTTCTTGGCCCCCAGGGAAAAAATGGCAAGTTGACCCAAGTTGGTTTTGATGACCATCCTGAATGGTAAACAATAATGGTGGTTTCAACCCCAGGGGGGAAGGGGGTGGGAAGTCCCCCCCCCAATTCCACAGGTTTCTCTTCTTCCCAAAGGGAGAATGAAACGAATGGAGACCTCCAAAAGTCGAAATGCCCGCATGTTTCGGGGGGTGGGGATGGAATCTGCCTGCAACCCCTAAAGAAAACCACGAGGGATGGTTCATAGACCAGTTTCCCTCCGAGGACCAGCAAGCTGAAATAGGGGTTTTCGTGCCAATCCCCTTGGTACTTCTTTGAGGAGAGATGCGAATGTGATAAAATATGGTCTAGTTGGCACCCAGCCTATAGGACTGAGCTTGTTCATGCCGGGCTCCCATTGCGCCCAAGAAAAAGAACGACATCTTTGTGTTTGGTTCATAGCGAACCTTAAAATGTTAAATTATCTCGTTTGCGATTGGTCGATCCTTTACCCAAAAGACAACTGCAGAAAACCAAGAGGAAACATGCCCTTCGCAAACTGTCTGGGTATAGGTGTTTGGGTGATGTTCAGAGGTTTGTTCCAGCAACTCGCGTGTCACTTTCAAGGTTTTGACTACTCACCTTCCCCACAAGGCCATGGGTCAAAATCCCCTACCCCAAGTGAACAGCCGATTCACTCCCCACTAAAATAGGTTCTAAAATGGGTGGTGAATTCACCTACCCCAAAATGGGATCCCATTGGTTTGGACAACCACAGCCGTAAGTTGCCGTGTCTGATCTCTGGCAGCCATGGCCGGCCTGGGTTTGTCCCTCAAACCCGGGGGGGGAGGCTTTGCACTTTGGTTTCCATTTCAAACAATCTCAAGGCCAACTCCAAAAAGAGGCACCACCAAGTTTTTGGTGTTGTTTTTCGGGGGGGCACACCACAAAGGGACCACCGAAGCCATTTTGGGGGGTCCCCCAAAAAAACGACACACCCAGACAGGCTCGAAGGCCCGCTAGTTGAGCTGCCTCCGCGAGTCTCGCCCACGCGGCGAAGACACGCCTGACGAGTTGTTGCTTTGCGCGTGGAAATGGGCGGGGAGGTCAAAGGGAAAGCACCAAGCACAAAGGAAACTACCCAAAGAACCCACCACTTCATCCATTTGGATCCAAGGGGGCGGGGGGTGGGGGGTGGGGATTTGTTTGCTTTAGCTGAAGTGGACGAGTAGCCATGATTTACTGGGCTGTCCGTTTCCGGATCCCCCGCTAAAAGTGACTAACTTTTAGTGGTTCATGGAAATCCAACCACTAAACAAACTAAAAGGCTAAAAAGCAAAGGAACCGGACGGCTGGAAACCACCAAGTACCCAAAAAGACAAAACGGCGAAACAAAGGGACACTCTACCCAAAAATGGAATTCAAAGGGAAAGCACCCAAAACAAATTTGCTTCTACGATAGGTAGGGAACGAGAATTGGAATGACCCCTGTAAACTATCCAACTGCTGGATTCCTTTGAGGGGATCCCCAGGTTCATTCCCTCATTCCCTACTGAGCACCAGCAAGAAAAACTGAGGTGGGCTAGAAAACATCTCATTTGGTCGAAGGCCCCTTCAGATTTGTGCAAAGGTAGGCAAACCACCAACAAGCCCGCCGCCCGTCGAACCTCCTGTGGATCATCGCCATGGATTTCAGGAATCCTTGTCATGGTTGTCTAGTTCCCCTATTGGGTTCATGACTTCCCCTACCATGAAGTAAAGGGTGTCACAAGCAAACATGCCAGGGGCCTCATTGAGACACAGCCCTGTGGCCCTAGGAGTTTGAAACATGGCGTCTTCACATACGCGGACCATCTGGGTTAAAGCTGATATTGCAGATTTCAAGCGGACTCAATTCATGCAATTGTGGACCCCTTGCGTGAAAACGGCACAAAAACAAATTGTCATCAGACTCGGACTTCGATTGTTTGCCTGGTGTTTCTGCAGCGCACTTTGCCCATGCAGATTCGGTCAAGCGGTAAAAAGCTTCAGCACTGGGAGCGCGATTTCGTTACAACTTGCCTTGTGCGTAGCCGTGGCATTTTTCCGCCGCCTTCCCATCCCACCCATTCGGCTCGCCTTAGCAGTGCTGTACAAAGATCGCGCCTTGGGAGTCGAGTCTGTAGCCTCTTCGATATGCGAATTGAAGCCATGGTATGACAAGCGCTTTGAGGAATCCCCGTTTTCCTGCGATGACCGTCCCGAGCAAAATGTTGAAGAACCCTCCTGGACAGGTGAAACTGATGAAACAAGTGAAATGGGGAGATGGGGTCCAAATGAATCAAAAGAAAGTAACGTCTGACACCTTTTGAGTCCCTCGGGTCAAAACCTCAAGAAGTACAACATCATCATGGGAACGGTGCATTCATGAAGATGGGTAGTGACCCACAACACGGGATGGACCTTTTCATGTCATTGAACATGGCTCGCCCCGAGCTCGGTCTAATGCTTCTTGCCAGGCCAAGGGGGTAATAGCGACAATAATGCCTATTCGGGGCGAATAGGGGTCCGATACAAGGATCTACATGATTAGAGGGGTGTGGTTAACACAACTTGCTTTGTGATTCACAGGATCAACATGGTGAT